TGTATTAAGGGGTCGCAGCATTAGGAAGGTTGAGAACCGCAGCTCTAAGCATATTCCGTTTCCAGTATCCAAAACTTTTGAATGCTTCTCGTCTCTTTTATAAAACTTACCAATAGTAAGGTCATGCACTGGCTGAAACCTCTTGTCTGTAAACTGTAGCAGTAAGCATGATTTACCAACACCTGAAAGTTAAAGAAAAAAAAAATTGAGACAAAACACAGAAATGAAGGAACACTTAACAAAAGCACATGGAAAGCAGGCAGTCAGGGTTTCTGGTGCTCCTTGAACAATCACCATGATTTCTCAGTGCTCTAACTTCTGGGGAAATTAGAGGGTGATAATTAGGTGGGGGTTTGAATCCCAAACACCCTTTTCATCCTTTCTTATTCATTCACCATTTCAATCTGAAAGATAAAAGTGGCAGTAATTCCAAGGAGACAACTAAGGTCTTCCCAGTAATCACTGCCACAGTGCTCATTCTTTTTTGTGTGCTAGTGAAAACACTGAAAAACATAAGTTAAATTTTTTGTAGTTTATTTTACCTTATTTTGTTCTACAAATAAGCTAGTAGTGTTTGGGATCTACTTTTCTGGGAAAAGCTGCTTGCCTTATCTTCTGGCTAATTAATTTCAGGGTCAACTCTAATCTGAATTGCATTCCTTTACCACCAAATTTCACCTCATTAAGGTCATAAATAACCTCCACATTCCTAAGTTAAAGGCAAATTTCCTATATTCATCCTACTTGCCCTCTAAAAAGAAATGTATATTGAATACCACCTTCCTATTCATTTTCAAGCCCTTAACCACAGACTAGATCAAGTCTGCTAAATTGATAGCATCCTGCGCTTCTACAAAACACCTTAAAGGCAGTCATCATTCATTCATACTCATTCATTCATTCATTTACTCAGTCTTTATTGAATGCTGTGTGTGCACTGCACTAGGCACTTGAAGATACCATTGTGTAGAAAATCAATATGCTTCCTTCCTTAGAGTCTAGTACTAGAGAAATTAAACAGAATGAATGCCCAAATTACCTACATGAACTGTAATTTGAAATAATTACAATAACCACCATTTGAAAGAAGAGAATAAAGTGCTATGAGGAAAAGTAACAAAAGAGACTTAATGTAGAATGAAGGGCTGGAGGTCTTTCTGAGGAAGTGACACTTAAACTAAGCTGTTCAATGTCTTCTAGATTATAAACTCATGTCACTTGCTGTCTTACAGTAGTGATAAGGCACTTAATGTTGCTGAATGATTGGACCTAGTGTCAAATATTATAAAGTTTATTAAAAATGCCAGTAACAAATCAAAGAAATGTTCTGTATATACATATGGCTGTGTTTTAGGAAATATTTTATTTGTTCAAAGTTTTTTTAATGTTTTAAGATTCTATTGGGTTGTCAGAAAAGCCATGACACATTTTTGCAATGAAAAACATAGAAAAAATATATGATAACTTTTCCGACAACCAAAAAGTTAACTGAAAATAAGCTGGAATTTGACCTTAGTTTTCTTCTCTTCCTTTTATCCATGATTTCTCTTTTATATTACAAAATGCACAAAGTCAAACTCATTTTTTCAGATTTCTAATTCCACTAAATAGCCTTCAGTTCTAGGATAGAAAGGCAAAAAAAATCTTTTTAAGTGTGAAAGTACAAAATAGGTGAACAATTGAGATATGAATCTTCAGTTCTTTTTTGAAAGTTTATTTTTAAGAGCAGTTTAAGTTCACAGCAAAATCGAAAAGTATAGGAGTTCCCATGTTTTCCCTGCCCCACGAGCACAGCCTTCTCCACTATCAACATCCTGCACCAGAGTTGTAAAACTTGTTTTGTTATAATCGAGGAATCTACACTGACACATCATCATCACTCAAAGTCCATAGTTTACATTAGGGTTCATTCTTGACGTTGTACATTCTGCCAATTTTGACAAATGTCTGTGTATCCACCAGTACAATATACAGAATAGTTTCACTGCCCTAAAAATCCCCTATGCTCTGCCTGTTAGTCCCGTCCTGGCAACCACAGATCTTTTTTTGTCTCCATAGTTTTGCCTTTTCCAGAATGTCATACAGCTGGAATCATACAGTATGTAGCCTTTTCAGACTGGCTTCTTTCACTTTGTAATATGCATTTAAGATTTCTTTGTGCCTTTTGTTCATTTCTATTTTTAACATCCAAAAATTTCCCATATGGTACAGAAAAAATAATTAGAAATCACAGATTTCATTACTGAGGGACTTCAAGGATCATCTAACAGTCGTTTATGTGATACAAGAGCCTGAAAACCCTCTCTTATCTCACAACAGAATCCTCGTACACATTGCTTTAATAATACCAACATCACTTATTCTGACCAAGTGCTTATTAAATACAGAAAATGCTTGCTCTTTGGTTCTTCATTTTCAAGACTCCATATTCTTTCTTCAGGTAATCAAAGTTTCTTTTAATCCAACTGCTACTGTGGTGTTTCCCAACTCTCCTTAATTATACTACAGACCATTTGTTAGGGTCGGTTATATTTACAGATAGCTTATTTTATTCAGTATGTGTGGACTCCTATTTTAATTCTGGATAAACCTATTTCCGAATACATGGGCTGTCTGACTCTGTCTGACTCACAATCACCAATGCTTTTCCAAATTGCCAAACTGAATTAGCTGGCCTTTTTCCAATCCTAATCTTATTTGATCCAGAAATGTGATCTATTTGTGCCACAAACTATAGTTTATCGGTTTACTTCCTCCTTGAAAATAATCTCTTCTGACTTTATCAGGCTGTAACTTTCTCCTTGGTTTCTTAATGCTGTGACAATTGCTGCTCTTCTATGCAAGCCTTAAATACTGGGGGTTTTCCCCACCATCCCATCTTTGGTTACCTTTTCTTTTCACCTGAGAGAACTAATCCAGTCCTATAGCCTCAACCTGCTTCTATAAATTGGTCAGTGATTATTCAAATCCATCTCTCCCCAGCCATCTTAACTTCACTCTCATTATTTCCAGCTGCCTATGGAACATGTCCACTTTAATTCCTTCAAAGCTGAAACAAACTTTCAAAACCTAATGCATTCCTTTTCATTCTCCTGCAGACCATCCTCTCAACCAACAACTCAGAAACAAACTCATCTTCTCCTTCAGTATTTCCTGGTCTCTGAAATTGCCTTCCAGTGGATCACACCAACAAGAAAATCACAATTGCCCTTAGTTTCTCTTCTTCATCATCAACTGTATCATGATGCTTTCCAGGCACTCCCACAACAGAATGTGACCCTCAACAGAACAAGAGCTCCACTAGGATAGAGACCACATGCAAGAATACATCTTCAGGGCCGGCCGAATGGCTCAGATGGTTAAGAGTGTGAGCTCTGCACAACAGGGTCGCTGGTTCAATTTCCACATGGGCCAGTGAGCTGCGCCCAATCTGAGCTGTCTCTGAGCTGCCAACAGGTGGCAGGATGGCTCAGCTGGAGAGAGCACGTGCTCCTAACAAAAAGGTTACTGGTTGGATTCCAGCATGGGAAGGTGGGCTATTCCCACCCGCAACTAAGATTGAACACAGCACCTTGAGATGAGCGGCCGCGAGCTGCCGACGGGCGGCTGGATGGCAACTGGACTTGGAGCTGAGCTAGCTGCGCCCTCCACAACTAAGACTGAAGGACAACAACTTGGCTGTTCCCCTTCCCCAATACTGTTCCCCTCCCCCAATAAATTCTTTAAAAAAAAAAAAGAACACATCTTCAGCACATAATAGATCAAAGTAGTGTTATAAAGCCTCTTTCTGTCCTCTCTTCTATCTTACTACAAAAATTGTTGTAGTTGTCGATTCAAAAAGATTAAATTTGTACATGTAATTTTGAATTTTTTGTTCAGTATTTCTGGAAGATGGCTGTCTGGGAGGGATTTAACCAACGTGACTTTGTACAACTCATTTTATCTTTTGGACATAATTTTACTGTATGTACAGAGAATTGAGCCAGATAAGTATTACGCTCCTTTCTAACTCTACCATTTAGACTTGATGATTTATAATATCACTTAGAGTTTTAAAATTTTAATGTTTACTTTTTACTATGGGTAGATTTAAATTAACAACTGAACATCTGTTTAAATCTAAATGGAAAACAATGGCTCCACGATGCCAAAAAGCATAGTGATATGATGTAAAACGACATGGAGGATTTTTCTTTCCAACTTATCAAAGTATTGGTCAGACTCTTGTGTTGGAATACAGCAAAAACAATGTCACCAAGCGGTAAGTTCAATTTCAGACCTGTACATTTCAAGAAAAGGGGCCAATCCTTATTTTATGATTAAGCATGCTAATTTGAAACTTGAAGACAATTTTTATGTATTTTAAAATCTAAGAGCATTTACTATTTAACTGGATTCCTGTGTTACGCTGGTTTTTAAGTGCTCTAGTATATGTATTATGACCTCTACACAGCTAAAGCAAATAAGCTGTATCTCTCTATGTTCAAGTTAAATACAAGTCTTAATTCAACAGCTTTAAGGAACATCAATGCTCAGCTCAAGCAGCTAACTCCACAAGGTTGAAGCACAGACCTTTTGAGAACTTCTATCTACCCTGTATCATTGGTCAAATACGCAGAAAGGAGACCTTTTGCCAAAATGTTATGCTTTCTATATTTGAAAAATGCTCTAAATTGAGGCTAGGCTTGTAAATGGATTTTTGGAACTTATGATTAGGTGAAATATTTTATATAGAAAAAAACAGTAATTTTAGCACAAAAAAACCCTGACTAAACTTATGTCCAAATCTGATGTTTTCTTTAAACAATTCCCCTTATTTTCTGAGAGAAAAAAATAAGCCTTTAAAAAAAAATCATTAAAATAGGGACCAAAATTTCATCATAAATAGGAATCAAAACCTTTTATTGGAATTCCATCTTATAAAAAATGCTAAATATTATTTAAATAAATTTAAGACAAAATTTAATTTATAATTACAACTATACTCCTGAACAAAGAATGTAAAAATATTAAGTTAGAGGTTTTTGATAATATGCATACTTTGTAGGCAAAAAAAAATTAATATTTGCCCTTTTTATAGTATAAAGTGAAACTGATAAAAATCTCCAAGGAAGAAAAATTTCTTTCACCAATTTTCCCACCAGCGTCTCTTAATCCTTCATCTTCAAATAGTTCTTTAATA